AATCTCTTGAAATATATTTTTTAAATATTTAGAGGGTGATGTTTTCAAAATATATATTGAAATTGAATTAAAAAAAATGTAATTCAATGTTTTAAAATAAATAAATAGATCTTTTTAATATATTAACATTTTATTTTTTTTTAAATTAAAATTTAAACAAATAAACCGACCTTACCCAACCTAACACAAATATTCATGGGTGTGGTTTGGTTGATTCCACTATTTAATAAGGGTTGCTTAGGTTAAAAAATTTACCGTCAAACAATGAAACTGCATCTAAAAAATGTCTCAACTCAACCCTTAGTCCACTATTTAATAAGGGTTGCTTAGGTTAAAAAATGTTTCAGTCAACCTAATGCAACCCATGAACACTTTGCCTCGTACCATGCTTTCCTGACCCCAAGAATCTCCACACTCCTTCCCATCCTTGAGCTAATGCCCCAAAACATTGCTGCACAAAGAAAGAATGAAAGAGGGTAAAAAAAACATTAAACCCTCACCAACAAGCATAACAAGATGAAAAACAACGTCCAAACACCAGTACATGCACAAGAGGTGAGTTCTTGTACAATAACTGTGTAATTGTTGTTGGAAAAAGGGAGTTTGAATCTCGAAATAGTTGTCATCACATTACTGGTAGTTGTAAGTATTTTCATCCCATTATATAATCTGAGAGGTGAAGAGAAAGGAGAAATGTTGAATAACCAAAAGAAAATAGCAAGAAATGAATGTCGGAATGACATTACAGAGGAGAGAGAAAGTCGATAGAGTAAAGGAGAAATGAAGGTCATAAAGACGGTGAACATATTAGGCTTGAAGAAGCTAGTTTACTTAGAATGGGTAGGAAATTAACATGGTAGTTTACAAGTCTTATAATGTATGCTTTGTTTCTCATTTTTCTATACTATTTTCAATCGTCTAAGCCCACCATTGGTGAGTTTAGGCAGTCACGAGGACAAAAAGAAATTACGTACAATAATTGAAAATGGGAAGTTTAAGATCCTAAAATGGCTATGCAAAGAAGTCGTCAATTCAACCTTTTAATATGAAACCATCTAGCTCAACATTTTTTCCTAAAAAATATCATTAAAGTATATGAAATGAAAGAGAACTTTAGGAGACTATGAAATGGAAGAAACTATGTGAAAACATAAGGAAGAGATCAAGGAGAAATTCCCGAGTAATTCTAATATTAAGACACTTAATTTTTTTTTTCTAGACCATGTATGAACCAAAAAAAAAAGTAAATAAATAAATAAGAAATAAATAAAAGAAGCGACACTTTGTCCAACGTTGCTAAAGATGAGAACGGCTCATTTTATCATCCTAAATGAAGGATTCGAATCAATTAGAGAGTACACTTTTTGATGGCTCAATGCCAAAATTTTGGCTGATCCGGCGTGGGTTTGATTCGCTCGTACTCATTCCTCCAGGTTTCAGTTTTTAGAAAGCAATCAAAGTTAGTTAACTACCTTCTGGCTTGTTCAATTTTTTTAATCGATTTTAAAGTTTTTATGCATAATTGAGCTTTGTTTAAATTATTAGGAAAAAATTTATATGCATAATTAGGCTTGGTTTAAATTATTAGGAGTAAGTTTCTCAGCACAATTAAGTTTTGTTTAAATTATTTGGAGTTGCTTTCTGTGCATAAATGAGCTTAGTTTAAATGATTGCGAGTAAGTTTTTATGTCTAATTAGACTTAGTTTAAATTATTAGGATCAAGTTTTTATGCATAATTAAGCTTAAGTTAAATTTATGGAATCAAACTTAAATAATTTATGCATAATTAGACATAGTTTAAACCATTAGGAGTATGTTTAAAATTATTTCATGCAAGATTAGGTGAGTCAACTCCCCTAATACTAATTTATGATTGTTGGGGACATTAGGCGGTATTAAATTTTAGAGAGCAGTGTTAAGTAGCGCTAGAATCAAGGAGTCGTAGTAGCTTCGGCCTAGGTCATCCAAGTAAGTGCCCTATCGTCGTGAAATTGTACGTTGTATGATGGCACATGCCTTTGGTTTCCCATGTGTCATAATTTGTATGTTGAGACCATTATGATTTAATACGTAAATGTTATACAACGTGAACGTTCTGTTGTCTTGGATGAATTGATATAAGATATAATGTGATGTGATATTTTATGCTCGGATTGCATTATGTGACTGGTAAGGTAGCGTGAACGTTATGGTATGATACGAATAAAATGATAGCGAGGTTATATTTAATAATGTTTCAAATGGAAAAATATTGGGACCTCATGAATTAATGTGTGCTTATGCATTCGGGGATACCCATCGTGTTTGCTATACCTTAATAATACAAAACAAGCTTTTTCAATACAATACTTGCAGAGTCAATGACTACTCACAATACAACTAAACTAACTCACCAAAATCTCAAGAAATCGTTTCTGACGTGGAAGATCAGCTCATGCCCCAAAACACTGTTGCACAAAGAAAGAAGGAAAGAGAGGAAGAAAAAAAATGAAACCCTCACCAACGAGCTTAACAAGATGAAAAACAACGTCGAAACACCAATCCCACAAGATGAGAGATCCCTCCATAACTTGTACATGCACAAGAGTGTTGGGATATGGAGTCTGATGCCTAGATCTGGTAGAGATATATTTGGAAGATATTTCGTACAGATATGATTGAGATATATATGGTAGAGATTTGGTAAAGATTTGATAGAGATATATTTGTTAGATTATATCTGGTAGGTTTAAATCTTTGGAAGCTACATTTAGTAAACTGAAACCATATATATACTCATTAGGCAGTGCTCTTAAGAGGTACTTTCTCCATTCTCTGTTGTTGTACAATACCTAAAGTCATCAATATAAAACCTTTAGCCAATATTCCTATTTTCTCTCAACTATTTTTTGTGTTCATTATTGATCGAATGTGTGTGTTGTTGAGCAATCCTAACAATTGGTATCAGAGCTTACAACTGGTATCAATCCTAACAATTGGTATCAGAGCAAGGCGAAATTCACCACAATATGTGAAGATGGAAATTGAAAAGATTGAAATTGAAAAGTTTGATGGATCCGATTTTAGTTTCTGGAAGATGCAGATTGAAGTTTGTCTGTACCAAAAAGGTCTTCACGAACCCCTGTTGGGGGTGAAGCCGAATAATATGACCACGGAGCAGTTGAAGCTCAAGGATCGTCAGGCCTTAGGGATGATCCAGTTGACGTTGTCAAAAAACGTGGCATTCAATATTATCAAGGAGAAGACAACGCCAGATTTGTTGAAGGCGCTGTCGAATATGTACGAGAAACCGTCGGCTATGAACAAGGTGTATTTGATGTGGAAGCTGTTTAATCTACAAATGTCTTAAGGTGGATTTGTTGTGGACCATATAAATGAATTCAATATGATCATAAGTCAACTGAGTTCAGTGGAAATTAATTTCGAGGATAGAATTTAAGCATCGATTTTGATGTCATCTTTACTTGAGTCGTGGGATACTGTTGTTGCCGCAATCAGCAGTTACCGAGGATCTGATAAACTAAAGTTTGATGAAATTCGAGATATATTCTCAGCGAAAATATTCCCAAACGAGAAATTAGAAATTCATCTGGTACTGCTTCAGTGTTGACTAACGGGGAAGAAGTAAATCTAAGGGCCCAAACAATGGGCGATCAAAATCAAGAAACTGAGAAAAATCTCCAAACAAACCAAATGTGAAGTGTTGGAGTTGTGGAGAAAAAGGTCACTTTCGGGCAGATTGTACAAAGAGGAAGCAGAATCACAAATCAGAGAATGACGATGATTCGATACATTTAGCAGAAGACATTGGGGATGCTCTAATCCTCAGTGTGGATAGTCTGATTGAATCTTGAATTTTGGATTCAGATGCATCTTTTCATTCGTATCCAAGTAAAGAGTTGTTTCAAAATTTCAAGTCTTGAAGTTTGAGAAAGTGTATCTTGCCAACCACAAAGATTTAAAGATCGAACCACTACAACAAATTACCCTTTCTATAGAAGATAGCATTTACTAAAACGTGCTATAAAAAATGATAAAAAAAAAAAAGGCGGACACAAAATAAATGAAAAAATGCTGAAACAAAATAAATAAAAAAAAGCGGACACAAAAAAAAAAAAAAAAAAAAAAAAA